TTTACGCATGCGCGTTTAATGTATAACCAACGGTATAAGCTAAGCTAAAATTATATAATTATCTATTTCAGTTAAAAATGCAGATTGCGTTGTTCCTTAATCTTCAAATTGGATCCGGCTTATTATTTTTTGCAGACTGTTAGAGCAATTTTATAAAAGTAAGCTTGAACTTTCGATTATGTCAAATAGAATTTCCGATTCTGGAGCTGCCAAAGGATCTACAAAGCGAAAGCATGTTTCGATGTGCATTAAACAAAAAGTGGATAAAGGCATGAAGAAAGTGACGGAGAGGTGATTTGTTTCTCTAACCATTCCGAAGTCTGTTTATCAATTTCACGCTGCTCTGCGCATCCCTCCCTTTAGGCAGATAGCCCTAGAGGCTTTGCCATAATCACACACACACACATATTTTTAATTGTATAATTTCTGCATGCCATCTTACCAGATTTAAACTGATGATCTATAATCCGGAATCCCCGACGAGTCCGAATTAAAGACTTTTCACTGTAATAGGTATTTTAACTGGATGAGGAGACAGCTTTTTCTGAGTTCTACATTTCTCACAGACCTTTGAGGTGTCTGATCAATGTTCAGGTTTGAAAAATTTATGGGTCAAGATTAAGTCATGGATTATTAGAGGAAGATCTAGACGACGATATTATTAGACGATTATTAGAGTACAAGAAAGACTATTGATGATATGACTAATTTCATACCAGAAGCATGCCAAGAAAAACAATAAAAAATTCTGTGTCAAAAGGCATTTCAGTGTAAAAACTAGACTAAAGGAATATGGAAATGCTGAAGGCCAGCAACTGGAGAACCTCAGATATCATATTAATATACCACCTTCAATAGCAACCATCCCTCACACTCACTTGATTTTTAATACTAAACCATTTCAATTAACACTAACTTCAGGTTATTTATTGTAACTCCTTTAATATAAGTTGGCAAATTTTCAGAATACAATAAGCTTTTGCAAAAGATGCTCATAACAGTTCTTTAGGTTTAACAAGCAACATCACCATTTTCCTATATGTTCACTTTGCTTATTTTTTAAAATCAAATGATCTTTTTTTTTTTTTTTTTCAAATATTTTCCCCCTTAAATTCAGTTTTAAAATACTTACTTGTAGGATTTGTCTGCAGTACTTTAAAAAAAAATAAAATAAAACTGAGTAAAATTTCTTCAGAAATACACTATTTTGCTCCAAAATAGCTAAAGGTAAACAACTGTTTAGAATCTGTTCTTAACCCTGCAGTGCGCATGCGGCGTCCCACAGATGCCAGGGATGTTTCTTTTTTAAATGGCTTTATAAACGGATGCGCGATCAAGCTTATGCTGTCATCTACCTTTCTGCCAACTATACATGAATAAGTAGAAATCATCGAAACAACGCCATTTTCATTTTAGTGCTGAGAGTAAGAGGTTATAAGCCGATGTGCACCACTGGAGTCTAGGAGACGCCCCACGATCATTTTTGATTCTAAATGTATTTTAAAATGTAGCAAAATTCTAGCATTTTTAATTTTTAATTATCAATAGCTGTCCATAGTAGTGTTTTTTATCACTTTAGTGATAAGTAAAAGAAATTGTGAATATATTTAATTCTAAATGTAAAAAGAATGTATTTCTTCTAATATTTATAATTTTTATGGGCAACAATTGTTTTTATTAGTTATTTTCTTATCTTTAGAGCAAGATGATCTCATAAAAAATTCAATATGGCAACGAACGTGATAGAGAATAGTATTACGTATGCTTATGGAAGAAGATGAACATGTGATTGAGTTTGATGATTATAGTGATACAGAAGAAGATAAGAAAGTGGAAACAAGGAAGAAAACCAGACACGAGCCAAGAAATAGACTTAAATGCGATTAGCAGATGTGATGATTTATTGCCTGAAAAATTATTTCCTAGACTGACAAAATAAATCATCAAATGGTCAAAAGTTTGCCCACCCTAATTGATAGCGATAGTGATGATTATATTGTGAAAAATTATTTCCTAGACTGAAATAAATCATCAAAATGGTCAAAAGTTTGCCCACCTAAAAATATACGCACTCGGTGACATAATATTGTCACTCATTTACCAGGGCTGAAAGGTGCCGCAAAGAATGCTCGAACGCCAGAGCAATGTTTGGCGTGTTTTTTCGACAATGGCATGCTATCTAATATAGTTAAATTCACAAATGAAAAGATATCCACAGTACAGGAAAATTATTCTCGGGAAAGAGATGCCCATTTGACCGACATAATTGAAATAAAAGCACTTCTAGGCATATTATACATTTGTGCTTCTAGAAAAGACAATCATGCAAATACCAAGGAGATATGGTCCTGTGATAAAATGGGTATTGAGCTATGCCATCTAATAATATCTGAAAAATGATTTAGGTTCCTTTTATAGTGTTCGAGGTTTGACAATAAAGACACACGAGACATAAGGACTATAACTGACAATCACGTGATGTGGGTTAGGTTAGGTTACTTAATTATGGCAAAGCCGCGAGGGCTATCTGCCTAAGGGAAGAGATGCCTTCGTGGAGGTCTTTCTAAGGGAAACTGGCCATTACACGTTACACATGGGAAACCACGAAAACCCATGCAGCCAGCCCGTTCGCGGGATTCCAACCTCGCCGAACTACCAGTGTTCAGCGACTTTACCGCTCGGCCGCTGGTGGCTACGTGATGTGTTTCCTCTTTGTTGAAAATTGTAAGAATGCTTATTCAGTTGGAGAGTACTTACAATTGATAAAAGTTAGAACTTTTAGGGGTAAATGTTTCTTCAGGAGATATCCCTAGTAAACCAAATAAGTATGGGATAAATTATTTGCATTAGTAGATGCTAGGATTTAAAAAAAAAAAAAAAAAGAAAAAAAGGAAAAAAAAAAAAAAAAAGAAAAAAAAGAAAAAAAAAAAAAAAAAAAAAAAAAAAAAAAAAAAAAAAAAAAAAAAAAAAAAAAAAAATAGAAATATATCGGCAATATTCGAAATTAGCTGTAGAAAATTGGTTATCTCGTTAGATTTAGCTAACTTTTTGCTTCAGAATAATTTCTTTGGTTGGACCCATGAGGAAGAATAAGAGTGAAATTCCTCTAGAGCTTACGCAAACAAAGAATCGGGAGTAGAACATCATTGCTTGGGTTCAGAATGACTCAACTCTAATGTCTTATGTAACTAAGAAAAACAAGGTGGTTTTGATTCTCTCCACTATGCATCATGATGATGCAATTGATGGATCATCTGAAACCAAACAAGCCACAGATGATAACCTTTTATAACGCAACTAAACCAGGAGTTGATACTATTGTCACTGTGTAGCACTTATAATGTCACTAGGAAAACGAACAGATGGCCTATGGTCATATTTTATAGTATGATGAATGTAGCAGCTATAAATGCTCAAAGAACATATCATGCAAATAATTTATCAATCAGCACCAGGTGCAGTGAGTTTTTAAAATTTTTGGGTCGTAATCTAGCTGACGATTCTTTGCGTAGACATTCTCAGTGTTCATTATTACCTAGAAATCTCAATCAGGATATTCAGAGCCTTTTCCCAAATGAGGGTACTGTTCAGCTTACAGAAGAGGCTTTAGCTACTAAAAGGCAGAGATGTCATTAATGTGGCCATTCCAAGAACAGAGACACTAAGTACAAATCCCACAGTTGTAAAAAAGTTCTATGTTTAGAACACGCTCAGCAAATATGCACTGATTGCCAATTTGTGCAACTAACTAAATAAAATAATTTCATTTGTATTTGTGTAAGTTGAATAAAATTAAGTTTCACTGTAAACTGAAGTTTTGTTAATTTGTGTTTGTAATATGATGCCACAAATATATATATGTTACTTTAATAATCCCTTTGCATTCATAATTTTAACTTAATGACATAAATATATATTAGTACAGCAAAAACATACCTGGAGTCTGTGAGATGGCACGTGACCTTTAACGTAACAATTTGCCACGCGAGCACTGCAGGGCAATCAACACAAAATTTCCATCAGAATAAAAAATGCACTAGTCAATGCACTATAAAAACACGTTTGTAAATAGATTTATTGATTGATTTTTTAGGATAAATTCCTGATTAAAACACAATATATATATGTATGTATGTATAACGTATAATTTTTCGCAATTACAAATCATTCTTTTCCTTCAGTAAAAAAATTGCCAAATAATCCCATGGCGTTGTAGTTTGAAACTTAATATATAAGTACCAATTTCAGTTACAACAGTTCATCTACCATAAAATCATGGCTAGATAATGAATGATTCACTATACAAAACTTCTCTTAGAAAAGAGGATACTTACATATTATCCCATTATATGTAAAAGTTGACAGAGATTCCACCAAAGTTGTGGAAATCATTCCTGCAGAATTTTGAAGCAATCAGCTTCTCTTGATTTAATAAATAGTCAGTATTTGACCTGCTTCATTTCTGCACTTCGTAAAAAAGCTTTAATCGATTTATACCATATTTAATTACATCTTCTGACTTACAAGCTCTGTTTAGAATGCTATGAATACTAACTTATCATAAATGATCATTCCAATCTATTACTGTTTTGTCAGCCATACGCAGCTGAACGTATTATGCTGATTAATACATACTTTTTTAATGCAAGGAACTTGGAAAATAATCCACTGTTCTGTAGAAGGCAGGTCCCAAATGTTAAAGACTTTTTCAAAATGCTTGAAAAATACAGTTATAATAGTTAATTTATATCATTCATAAAAAAAAGGCTTAATGATAATCGATCAGGATTATATCAATTGAAAGTGCAGATGTTATGAGGGTTTAGTTAATTTACACTTATCTATAATTAGTGCTAAATCATACAGTTATGGAAGTTTCATAGTTGATAAGCTAATATGTAAATGCCGAAAAGAAAATTCGACTCAATTCCATTGCATATAAATTTATATTTTCCTTGAAATTACTAAATCATTAAGGCAGAAAGTGCAAAACTTCTTACACGGTATGCTTTTATTTCCGCTGCATGAGGAAAGTCGTAACTAGCTATATACCAATGTACAAAATTACTTTTAAATCCTTTCAAGTAAAGGCTCTCAATAATCATCTTGCTCACATGGTTTTTACCACTGCCAGTCCAACCGTGAAAAGACATCACCAAAGCCTTGTTAGGTTTTGCTTTTGCAACATGAGCTTTCAGAGACTGTGGCACAATTTGAGCCACTAAGTGCTGACCATATAAATGTTTTTTAAGACGATTTTCAAGCCCTGAAAACAAATGAAGAATAAATTTGTTACCTGAGAATTAAAGAGCAAAAATAATTATAAAAAATGACTATTTAACCCTTTGACTATGAATTGCAAAAAAATTTTGCACCCCCTTTTTTTTCCCAAGTGAACAAAATATGTCACAAGGTAAATTTAGCATTTGGGATTTTTTTTTGACAATTGGTTTTAAAGCCAAAGGCAGGGACATGTCCCAGCCGTAGTTAATGATGGGATAACGTATGTCCCCCACATAGAGATCGACTTACAACAAGCACACCTATTATTCTGGAAAACTTTATTATATGAAATAGATTTACGTCGTATGGTACAGAGTAAAGCAATTTTCGCATAACCCAACAT